AAGAGTGCTTTACATGCCCCTCAGTCACAGAGCTCTGATGACAGAAAGCCAGGCACAAAGAAGCCAGCCTCTGCCCCCAAAGCTCTCCTCTCTGACAAAGGGAAAAGCCTAGGGATTCCGGAAGCCCTGACTCTGACAGGAATGAGTTTTGGGTTTTCCAGAGCTCTAATCATCAGCTAGATGAATCACTAGGAGTTGACACTCCCCACCCCCCTTCCTCCATCCCCAGGAGACTTTCAGCTGATTCAAAATATAGGATTTTAACAAAGGAGAGGAGGAAGAGAAAGTGGGGAGGAGAAGGGGTAGTGAATAGAAACTAAAGGTGCCAGCCAGAGGAAATGAAAGGATATCAACATGAGACTGCTCTCTCTCTCTCTCTCTCTCTCTCTCTCTCTCACACACACACACACACACACACAACCATGATGACATAATCTCCAACTCTGGGCACACCGGTAGACAATGCTGCCAAAACAAAGTGACGCCTGTGACAATAGCATGAGATGGTTGCTTGATGAGGTATAGGCAGGTCTGCCTAACACAGAAGCAGAGGAGGAGACCTTCAACCCCGAGGAGCTTACTCAGCCTCCTTAAACCCAGCAAATCCTTCTCACTGGCTGGCTTCTGGCTTCTCTTTGTGGCCAAGCCTCAAGGCCTGGGTATGGCACGTTTTGAGTGACTGGGAACCAGCACTGAGATGAGCAGGGCACTGCTTATCTTACTCTGTCATCTGTGTGATGTCAGGGGTGCTGGGGAGCAGAATAATGTAGTGTAGTATCACGGAGCTTGAGTCAAACAGACGTGAGTTCAAATCCCCACTTGGCTGTTCACTAGCTCTTCGACTTTGAGCAAGTCACTTAACCTCTCTGGGTCTGTTTCCTCATCTGTGAAATGGGGCTATTAATATATACCTCCAAGGGTTGTTATAATGATGTAATGAGATGATTCTTTCATTCCACAAAGATTTACGGAGGAGCTGCTAGGTACAAAGCACAGAGCCAGATACTGGTGATCCAGTGGGACCAAACAGACTACCTACAGCTCTGCTCTCCTGTAGCACCTAGGGCCCTGGCACAGGGCCTGGCACCCAGTGAGACTCAACAATCCATAGCTACTTATGATGATCATCTTGGCATTCTGCCATTAACTTAATCGTGGGAGCTGAGGAGAGTCCCTTCCCCTGAGGAAACTAGGCCTATTTCTTCAACTATGAAATGACAGGGCTGCCCACAGGAAATACAAAGGTGAGGTGCCTACCTGCCAGTGTGGGTAACAGGGTCAGAGTTAACACACTGGAGTTTCAAGAATGTGAATGGCCCGGCTGGCGTGGCTCAGTGGTTGAGCATCAACCCATGAACCAGGAGGTCATAGTTTGATTCCCAGTCAGGGCACATGCCAGGGTGGCCGGCTTGATCCCCGGTAGGGGGTGCACAGGAGGCAGCTGATCAATGATTCTCATTATTGATGTTTCTGTTTCTATCCCTTTTCCCCTCTCCCTTCTTCTCTCTGAAATCAATTAAAATAACATAAAGCAAAATTAACTGCATCTGCTAGGTTCAAAGTATAATAGTCTCATTCTTTTAAAAAAATAAGAATATATTTTATTTGATTTCAGAGAGGAAAGGAGAGGAAAGATATTGATGGGCTGCCTCCTGCACACACTGGGGATCGAGCCCGAAACACAGGCATGTGCCCTGACTGAGAATCAAACCGTGACCTCCTGGTTCATGGGTCGGCGCTTACTAGTAACTACTGAGCTAGACCGGCTGGGCATGCAATTAATCTTTAAAGCTATTTCCTTCTGTAGTACTTGCTTCTGGGTATTGTTAAAGTTTAGGTTGAGAAAATATGTAAAATAAAGCTACATTGAGCATCTATTACACACACACACACACACACACACACACACACACACACACGACAGAGCCAGACAGGATCAGTGGTTTCCAACCTTCTCACTTCAAAGCTTCTTTTAGTATTTTCTCTCCACAAGAGCCTCACTTTTGGCAAGATTTTGTCTCCTGTACAACCAACCTGCAGCAAGCCATTCCTCCCTTTTCATTAATTAAAGCCTCGTATCACAGCCATGAGAGTTTGTGTTCATGAGGAGCAAGCCAGGTGACCACCATACTGTTGGTGGAATTCCAGCCCAAAGCAGAGAGTGAGCCAACTTGGCTACTTGTCACGTACTCTGTACTGTTTCTCTGGGCCCCTCTGGAGCATTAATAAGAACTCAAGGGACTCTTTCTGCCCTCAGGGATCCTTCAGCCAGGGATGCCAGGCTGGAACTCACTGAACTGGATGTTCTCCTTCAAATCCCTTCCAGCTGAGAGCTGGAGCTGTTATATCAGAAAGATGTGAATGTCAAGCTGTCTGCCCACCCTGCTCAGCTCTCCTCTGAACCATGGTAATTGTAGTTATTTTGGACAATTGTGGTAATTGTCCCCTCCTGCCAATGAGAGAGAGACCCCTGTACCCTTCTCTCCAGGAATAGGAGGAGAGGGAGGGGACATGCTGTATCACCCAAACGCTCAGAATTCCTGAGGATTGTCATCAACGAGGACCCCCACATTGATGTACACGTGGGCTTGCACAGAAGCTACAACATGTTGCACAAAAACCAAACTCCAATGGGGTGATGACATTTGAAATATGTCTTTTATCTTTTCCTCAGTGTCCCTGGGCCGTGCCTTTATGCAGATAGCTAGGTTAATCTGCATTCCTTACGTCAGGAAACAACTGATACAACAGAATGCAGAGTTCATTTTTAGCTTCTGAATTCTAAAGGCCTAGCCTTCAGGGAGGAATGGGAAGAATTTCTGAGCAGATACAAACTTAGAAAACCATGTAACAGGGCTCTGGGAGACTGACTTGGGGGAAGTAGTCCCTGAGAATAAAGATTCTCCTCAGCCTCGTAGCTGGAGGGGATCAGCTAGATCTTAGGGACGGGAAAGCAGGAAAAGTTGTGCCCCTTTTCCTGGTGGCGTGCCAAGAAGTAACAAAACCCTCTCAAGAAACAGCTGTATGTTGCATTTGGGCACACAGGGCCTAACTAACCTGAGACCTTAAGAATTTAGGCCTGGGGGAAGGGGGAGAACTGGGAGGATAAGGACACATATATAATACCTTAATCAGTAAAGAAAGAAAAAAAAAGAATTTAGGCCTGGCTGGCCTGGGAAAAGTAGGATAAAAATCTGAACATTGAGAGGGGGATGGGTTACCCTTGAAGGGGAAGTCAGGAGATCTTTTGGTCAGGGAGGAGCAACCTGAGTGGGCTGGTGACAAAACACCAGAACAGAACCCTGTGGATTTATGCAACCTGAGTGCATCGAAAACGAAAGGCCAGAACAACATGGGCCATCTCAGTGGATGCCAGCGTGAGGGGGTGACCACCAGATCAGACTACCTTTCCCATGCTTTGGCATCTTGAAAGGAAGTGCCCTATAATTCAACCAATTCCGAGAAAAGTGGTGGTAGTGGTGTGTGTGTGTGTGTGTGGTTCTGATGAGGTAGTCCAAGGACAACACTTTGACCAAGACTGTGCTGGAATGGGATGCACTGACCTTGGGCTGCTAGTGCCCAAATGAACACTCCTATCAAATCTCCCTCAAGAAATGACAGTATCCTAAGGTGAAGGGCCCTGCCTTACTCAACTCAGACTGGATTTCAGTTTTGTGGTTCTTGACCACCTCTTCCATCTATATGTATAAAAGTGACTGTTTGACCAGTAGCTATGACACACACTGACTACCAGGGGGCAGACGTTCAACACACAGGCATGGAAACATGGCACAGACTGATGAATCTCAGATTTGTGCACCAGTGGGGTCCCTTGGCCTGGCCTGTAGGGATTGGGCCAAATCTGTGCACCAGGTCTCTGACATCCCCCAAAAGGGGTCCCAGATTGTGAGAAGGCACAGGTCAGGCTGAAGGACCTCACTGGTACATGAATCCATGCACTGGGCCTCTAGTGAGATTATAAGCCCCTTTCCCGAAAGGACCACATCTTACTGTCAATGTGTGCTCAGCGTAAGGCCTGGCCCACAGCAGCTGCACTGATGTTTGTTTGATGAAGACAAACCTGCTAGCACCACAGGACAGAGCTGCTTTTGCTGAGATGGTGTTTGCCTGTGGGAGGGCTGGTATGGTTGCAAAGCAGTGACAATAAGGACTTGGGTTCTAATTTCCAGAACCCCTTCTTCCCTGAAGACCCAAAGATGCTCAGAATTGGAGCCTAATTTCGTGCTGTTGTTGGATGAGTTCCCACACCGGAGAAGGGCTCAGGATTACTCCAATGACTCCACCTCAGGAAACAGCAATGAGACTAACAGCCCCTTCAGCAGGGAATCTGAACAGAAAAGCCACTTTCTATCTAACCAGACTGAGGGACTCTCCTATCACAACTCTCAGACTTTGCTGACTGTTAGTACTGTGTGAGAAACCCCATGCCTAGACCATCCCCCATACCAATGGAAATCCAAATGGGACAGGTGATTCCAATGTGCAGCCAAGATTGCGACCCTGCACCCTAGGACACAGGACCAACAGGGAGCCCATTCATCAAGAAGTACATGAGGCACACACTAATTTTTGTCTAAGTTTAATTTTATATGAAAAAGGACACAATCGCAAGAAAAATGGGGTCACTTAGGGTGGTTGCGGTTGAGCACATTTTAATAATCCTCACTGGGAGAGGGTTGAAAACAATTGGACAGATTCCCTGAATCAGCAAATCATCGACTCGGATGCAAATGGTCAAAACGGGGGGATTGTCATCTACCCCAAGGCCACAGATAAACAGGATTGTGGATCCCAGGGTGAGTCTGGGAGGTGTAACCCTGTGAAAGGCAGCTGTGATAGGTGTTGCCTGCCAGATACCAGTTTCTGGGCTGGCCCAACTCCCTTCCCAGGTTCTGGGCAGGGATGGAGGGCAGGCAGTTGGCTCGGTAGAACTCCGGAGGAACCTGAGTGGTGACTAGGGCTTGCCGAAAGGGACAGGCTCATTTGTGCTTCTTGGTGGGAAACTCCCGCCGGCCCTGCCCCAGGCTGCCGAAGTTGCGCACACGATGGATGATCTGCAGCTGCCGCTCAATGGTCTCGGTGATGTTCACGTCGTCGGGGATGTGTACGTAGCGGACGTTACGGCCTGTGACAAAGAGGTCATCCAGCTCAGCCTGACGCCCCCAACGGTCCGTGTAGGTGACGTTGGCGAGGCGGATGTTCATGAAAGCATCGACGTTGTCTACGCGTCCGCGGGCCACGCTCTCATCCCGCAGGTCCACGGTGGTCACCTGGCCCTGGAGGCCCTGCAGCAGGATGATCAGGCTGTTCTCGGAGATTGTCCGCTCCTTCATCGAGTGGCTCACTGCCATTTTCCCACACGGCTGGCTGCTGGAGGGAGAAGCACACAGATGGGAGCTTTAGCAAAAGAGGGGTGCGTTTGCCAAATCACCTCCACCAAGTTATAGTCTAAAATCCCCAGCACAGATTTCCCCAAGTTTGCCCACCTTCCCAATTTTTGAGTCTAGAGCACCCTTATGAGCCAGGTGCTTCATGTGCACCCCTCCGAGAATCCTCTCACCCCCTTGCAAGCCAAGGATTACTTATATTCATTTTATAAACAAGGAAAATGTGGCCAGGAGAGGTTGAGTCACTTACCCAAGGTCAAACAGTTGATAAATGGAGATGCTAGGATTCAAACCCATCGCTACCCTATTTCAAAACACACAGGGGTTCTGAACCCTCACCATAGCTTAGAATCACCCGTGGGTTTTGACCTAGCCTTTACACCCCAGAGGTTCTGATTCATTGGGTCAGGGGTGGGTCGCCGGAATCCTATCTTTTTAAAAGCTCCCCAGGTAATTCTAATGTGCATCCAAGTTTAAAAACCACTGCTCTGAGATGTAGTTTATACTCTGGCTATTCAAAACACGGGTCCATGGACCAGCAGTTTCAGCATTACCGAGACATTTGTTAGAAATGCAGAACCTCCAGTCTCTCCCAAGCCCTTTTGACTTGCATTTTAACATGAACCCTGGGTGAAATCACCAGTAGGTCTCAAACATCAGAATCACCTGGAGGACTTATTCAAACAAAGTGCCACCCCCAATTTCTAGCTCAGAGGGTCTGAGGTGGGGTCCAAGAATTTGCATTTCTAAGAGGTCCTCAGGTCTACACAATGCAGCTGCCATATATGTAGAAATTTAGCTAATAAATTTTATTTTTAAATATATTTTATTGACTTTTTACAGAGAGGAAAGAAGAGGGATAGTCAGAAACATTGATGAGAGAGAAACATGGATCAGCTGCCTCCTGCACACCTCCCACTGGAGATGTGCCCTCAACCAAGGTACATGCCCTTGACCGGAATCGAACCCGGGACCCTTCAGTCTGCAGGCCGACGCTCTATCCATTGAGCCAAACCGGTCAGGGGTAGCTCATTAATTTTAAAAAAGTGCATATAAAGCACAGGTTTTGAAGGCAGAGAAACTATAATAGGTTGGAATCTTCACTCCACCCACAAACTCTGTAAACCTACCGTGTTTCCCCGAAAATAAGACATCCTTCAAAAATAAGATCTAGCGCATGGAAAGATAAGACATCCCCTGAAAATAAGACGTAGCGCAACTTTGGGAGAAAAAATTAATATAAGACACTGTCTTATTTTCGGGGAAACAGGGTAGGACTGTTAATGTCTCTGAACACCTGTTTCCACATCTATTTTTTGTTGTTAATCCTCACCCAAGGCTATTTTCCATTGATTTTTTAGAGAGAGTGGAAGAGAGAAGGAAAGAGAAACTTCGATATGAGAGAAACACATTGATTGGTTGCCTCCTGCAAGCCCCCTGACCCATGAGGAGCCTGCAACCAAGGAAGTGCCCTTGACCAGAATCGAATCTGGGGCCCTTTGGCTCTATCGACTGAGCCACACCGGCTAGGGCTGTTCCCACATCTATTAAATAGTAGGCTAAATGGGGCTAACTGAATCTCACCACATTGAATGCACTTGCGTTTGCTTTCAACATGCCCTGATAGTTTATTAATGTAACTTTGCCTTACTTACTATCCTTACATTCAGACTCTGAGTGGAAAGTGGTGTAACTTTAAGACCTTGTTCAGAATCCAGACAGGCTGACAGGGTGGCACTGGGTGGCAAGCCAGCCCCCGCCGCAGAAGGGGTGGGCGTGGAGCCGGGCGGGAAGGGTCTAGCGTCCCATCAGCTTCGCCAGGAGCATGGCCCACGCACTCAGCCCGGGCTGCACGGTGACTGCGGTCAGGCATGGCTCTGAGACGGGCTCAGCCGCTTTCTGGAAGGGAGATCTCTCTCAAGCCACTTAGGTTCAAGCTTTTAGCCCACTGGTACATGGGGATGGTGAAGAGCCTTTACTCACAGAGCCTTGGGAGTGGACTTGGGGGGACTACGCTCCGCAAATCGGCAAGACGCTGCTTCCGCTGCTCCCCACGGCCCTCGGCGGTTCCGTAAACCCTCCCCCCGGCTCCGCCCCGGGCCCCCCGGACGCACCGCACGGGATTCTTTCCGTTTCCCGGTCCGCGTCGTAGCGGAAGCTAGCGGGCGCCTAGCTGGGCGGCCTTACTCCGGCGGCGGGATTTAGAAACCATAGCAACAACCAGGCCGCTGGGGCTCCGGGGAGCATACATAGCGCTCAGTGCGCAGGTCCGCCACCCCGGGCGGAACCTGAACTACAATCCCCAGAATGCCCCGCGAGCGCCGCGAGACTCGCGCTTTTGCAATCCCCGCCCTACTTCATTGAAAGGTCTCCTTCATTGGAGTCATTCATTCATTCATTCATTCATTCATTCATTCATTCATTCATTCATTCATTCATTCATTCATTCACCCATCCATCCATCCATCCATCCATCCATCCATCCATCCATCCATCCATCCAACTAATATTCATTGAGCCTTTACCCTGTGTAAGGCTCTTTTCAAGGCTCCGGACATAGCCGTGACAAAAGAGACAAGCTTCCTGAACTGTTGATGCTTAAATCTACTGGCGGTGGCAGGGAGGGATGTCAATTAGAAAACAAGAACATTATGATAAAAGTCCTTCAGAGCATTGAAAAAGGGTAATGTGATAGAAATTAGGTGGCTTTTTAAAAAACACACACACATATATTTTATTGACTTTTTACAGAGAGAAAGGGAGGGAGAGTTAGAAACATCAATGAGAGAGAAACTTCGATCAGCTGCCTCCTGCACACCTCCTACTGGGGATGTGCCCGCAATCAAGGTACATGCCCTTGTCCAGAATCAAATTTGTGACCTTTCAGTCAGCAGGCCAATGCTCTATCCATTGAGCCAAACCAGTTAGGGCTAGGTGGCCTTTTATTGGATGGTCAGGCATGTCCTAAGAAGGTGACATCTGAACTGAGATGAATGACATAAAGTCTACCTGGTGAAAACTAACAGAGGAAACCATTTATGTGAAGACCTGGAGAAATGAGTTTGCCAACTTGGAAAAATGGAAAGGCCGGTAAGACTGGGGAGAGTGGTGTGACAGAGATCACAGAGAAAGACAAGAGCCAGGTATTCAGGATTTGTAAGCCAAGGTAAGGAGTTTGGCTTTCTTGTTAGGCATGTAGGTTCTGGAGGCAGTGCCAGGGTTCAAATGTGCTCTTTGCAAATGGACTTCAGACAAGTTAATTATTCTCTCTGGGCCCTGCTTTCTGCATCTATTTCTAGAAGTGCAATGATAGGCTATCAAAGGGGAGTGACATGACCTGATTTACATTTTTGAAAGGTCACACTGGATAGCCTTGAAAAGTTTCTGTCTTCTCTTAGCCTCAACTTTCTCATTAGGGGGAAAAAAAATTGATTTCAGAGAATTGTAAGGTTGGAGTGGCCTTCATTAATGTGTGACAGCACCTGGCACATAGGAGAAATTCAATGAGTTAAGCTTGTTTGATTCTTTCACTTTCATACAGAAGCTTCACCATACGCATGGAAGCTGGCTGCTGCATAGAATGCTAAAAGCCAGCTTTGAGCTACAAGAAATGCCTATCTTAACCCTGGATGTTAATCAAGACAAAGACAAACAGTCTGGTTGAAAAGGTCAAAGAATTTTTGAGCACTTTGTGATCTTTCTGAAGACTACTGGCAGCAAAATGATTCCAGATACTTCAGCTTTGTGTATTTTCCCAGCTGTATATTCATACAAGTCTCTTTAGAAAACTCAAGTTTTTAACCATTTTTGTGAGGAAGACAGAAACATCAATTATGAGAACCAATGACTGGCTGCCTCCTGCACATTCTCTACTGGGGGTCAAATCTGCAACCCAGGCATGTGCCCTTGACCGGAACCGAATCTGGGAGCCTTCAATCCACAGGCCAACTGAGCAAAACCAGCTAGGGCTAAGAGAAATTATTAATAAAAACGATCTTGCTTTATATGCTATATATCTTGAAAGCATTATCATTTAAAATATATATTAGAGCCGAAACCGGTTTGGCTCAATGGATAGAGCGTCAGCCTACAGACTGAAAGGTCCCAGGATGGATTCCGGTCAGGGGCATGTGAATTGGTTGTGGGCACATCCTCGGTGAGGGGTGTGCAGGAGGCAGCTGGTCGATGTTTCTCTCTCATCGACTTTTCTAGCTCTCTATCCCTCTTCTTTCCTCTCTGTGGAAAATCAATAAAATATATTAAAAAATAAAATATGTATTAGAAAATATATTAATGAAAAAGACAAAAGGGTAAAATAGTTGTAATTTAAAAAAATCTGCATGGATTCATTTTAATTTTATATATAATGAAATATTTTTTTTCAAGTTTGGGAAAAAAAAGTGCTGAAGCACATATGAGACGCTAGCTGTCTTCTACCGTATGACAGACCTTAAAGAGACTTGCAAAATATATAAAACAATATCACTTCTTACTCAATTTTTTTGGAGAAAACATAGTTATTTCTAGTATAAAATGTGAAAATGAGTTTCTTATTGTTATTTTAAACAATGAAGGTTTTTGGAGTTTCCAATATATTTTAAGATTACAAAGGGTTTCTGACATGGAAAAGTTTGAGAACTGCTGCTTTAGTCTGAGGATTTTCACATACTTTCTCAACTCACTGTAATCTAGCTTCTGTTCCCAAGATTCCACTAATTTCTCTGGCAAAGATTACTAATGATTCTGTGTTCATAAAATTGTTAGCTCCTTTTTTAGATCTTATTTCCATGATTCTCCCCATTGCTTGGCCATATTGCCCATCCTCCTCCTCCTTGATTTTTTTTTTTTTTTCTGGGGCATTGTATCATTCTGTCCCCCCAACCACTCCCACCTCCACATTTCCTGATGGTTTCTTCTCCATTTTTTTTTCTCTCTTTACCCCACCCTCCTCCACTTCATTCTCC